TAAAACCTAAGTTACATTAATAATAATAATAATAATAATAATAATAATAATAATAATAATACTCCCTCCGTCCACCTAAGATCTTCCCATTGCGCGTTACGAGGCTTGACCGACTTTATTTCAATTCAATTTATTTGAATATAGGGGTAAAATTTTAATATAAAATTTATGTAGTAATAAACTACATGAAAAGTTCTAAAAAACTAGAGGTGATAACACTATATTATTTTATGAAATGAGTAGTAAAAATAAATAAACAAAGTGAATTAAGTTTGACCCTGTGAATAGTGTGTGGGAAGATCTATGGTGGACAGAGGGAGTACTAAATATCATACTTCACTATCCATAACACTGGACTGAGTTCATTATGATGAAAAGAATCAATACCTCAAATTTAGAGTTATTTTACATTTTTACCTCGTTTCATCTTCAAAATTCTTGAGAATAATCCATCAAAATACTACTCTTAGAAGCATTTACATTACTCTAATAAAAGCAAAGACCAATATGTTGCTTCCTTTTGGCCCGCTAGCAATTTTGCTGCACTTGTTAATTAGCATTTCCCACTAACTTTTAATTCGTATTAGGAAATAAATTAACATGCATACATGATGGGTTTTTATTTATGGTGGTTGTTGAAATAGTAAAATAATAATATTGCTCAGTGAATTATGAAGTACATGATAGAGTATATATAGGAGGGACTCCTAACACAGCTAGAAATAGAGAATAGAAACTCACTAAAATACTACATCTACCATAAATAGGAATAGAAAGCTGACTAATAATGAAATACTACCATAACCAATACTACCATAAGTAATACTATTATTATTGTCTAACATCCCCTCCTCAAGCTCAACTCTGAAGCAAGAGGAACTCAAACACTAGCGGGAAACTGGAAACTTTGAGAAATGAGAAGTCTGGACGTGCATTGGTAGTTGTTGACGTCTTTGAAGAAGAGAGAAAGGGTTGACGTGTGCTTGTAACTGCCAACGTCGAAGAAGAATAGAGAAGACTATTCGAGGTGCTTGTTTGATTGAAGATCATTGACATTCTTTGTCTTTTTATTGGATCCGAGCAATGCCCTCTTTCTTTTTCTCAATTGTGAGAATTTTTTGTGACTTTCTTGGAGGGGTGAGTTGTCGAGGTATTCTTTCCTCTTTCTCTATTTACCCTCTTGGCTTTGCTTTTGTTTTGATTTGCTTTGGATTTTTATTGGTTCAACAGAAGAGGAAAAGAATGAGATTGATAATTAGAATGAGTGATTTGAGTTAAGAATTGGGGATGGAGAAAAATATTTTGGTCATTCTATATGGTGAATTGGAGAGAAACAACTTTCATTTTTTTTACCTTGATTTTGAGAAGAAAGAAAGATGACTTGAGAGTGTTTTTGAGGAGTTACCGATCCAAAAAACTAAAGAAAGAACATCGGCCTGGCGGGCGGCTAATGGCGGCGCCGCTCGCCAGGAGCGAGCATAGAGAATTTTAGGTCACCAAGAACGGTGGCTCCGATACCATGTTGAAATATTGGGATAATAATATTGCTCATTGATAAATGAAGTACATGATAGAGTATATATAGGAGGGACTCCTAACACAACTAGAAATAGAGAATAGAAACTCACTAAAATACTACATCTAGCATAAATAGAAATAAGAAGCTGACTAATAATGAAACACTACCATAACTACTACCATAAGTAATACTATTATTATTTTCTGACAGTGGTTTAATTTCTTCTATCGTTGGCAATGGATATGTTACTGAGTATGTTGATAAAACAGATAGCCATTTATCCTTTACTTCTCAGTCTACTCTGTTTGGGTTGGTTTCTTCACTGTAGTCATTTACCATGTCACTACTACCTTATGCTGCAGGAATTGGTCATTTATACAGGGCCACCAGGCTATGTATTGTTGCTCACTTGGTGGCACATACCTGACTATCTAAGACGGAAAATCAGATTATGACAGGTAAAATATAAAAGACGTGCATTTTTATTATTCCTCATTGACAAATTGGTCCTTCAAAATTTCACCTTCAATTTAGGAGCATTTATATTTGAGTAAACGACAATTGCCCTTTCACATTCAGATTGACCAGTTGTATCTATATGGTTTTACACAGAATACGGTTGTTAATGATAGAAGCTCATTAGGCAGACAATGCAATTGAAAACTAAATATCCTATCTCTTCACCAAGGTATCAACTTCATAATACTCAATAAATCAAAAGATTGACCATGTTCTCAAAGTTAAACCCTACTGCCTTGAGCAATATGTTTTTTTAATGAAATAATTTTCCGGCATGTCAGTCATTTAGATATTAAAAACCATGTGCTAAACAATTGGCACCAAAATATGATTAGTACCTCTATTTTTTCGTCCATATCAAACAGGCTAATAGCAGATTTGCCAATAATCTTCTCAGTTTCCTCGTCAAAAATAATGAACTTTGTAGTGTCTGTGTCATCCTTGACCTAAACTCAAGGCAATACCTGTGTTTTCATTGAAATGCTAAAACATTATTCAACCTAGGAAACGTAGAATCGGGGGAAAAACACAACAATGTATAACATACCTTGGTAGAGCTTCATCGATTACCTTCTCGCATCTTTTGTACCAAAACATTCCACCGCTAGGTTTAATTGATTCTCCTTAAATGCTTAAGCCTTCCTTAAACAATCCAAATTAGCATTAAAACGTCATTGTTGTGTAACAACAACAACAACAACCCAGTTGAATCCCACAACAGTAGGGTCTGGGGAGGGTGTGTGTACGCAGACCTTGCCCCTACTCGGAAGTAGGGAGGCTGTTTCCAAGAGACCCCCGGCTCCACCTGCACAAAAATATGGAAGAGAACACAGTATAGCACAGATAAGGCACCAAGTACAAGCAACAAGTACAAACAATAGCAAAAGATTCCCAACAAAT